ACACTGACATACAATTCTACAATTCACAGTTCTACAATTAGCAGTAACAGTTTTGACCCAGAGAATTTCTGTGATTTTGCATTTTCTTTTCATTCTACCTTCGGCCTGAAATAGACTGCATAGACTTGTTTAAGTCTGAACAAACCAAATCCAAATAAATTCTAATAAAACAGGGGTTTAAAGCAAAAAAGAATTCCCTTCTCCTCACAGTTTTTTTTCCCCCTGCATGCCTGATTCCTACTCCATCCTGTGCTCCTTGCTATGATGCATCTTTCCTGCAGTCAATTTTGATCACTTGGGCTCAGCCAGCTGTGTGGCAGCTTTCAAGCTTTGATGCACCAGGCTGTAACTTGGACAGAGCAGCCAACAAACTGACCAACTTGGCATGACAGAAACACAAGCTCAAATTAAATCCTGTTGACTTAGCAGGACCCTGTGAGGAACAACCCCTGAGCTGGCAGTCAGGCCCGAGCTGCTCATTGAACCCACTGACCAGAATATTCAACAGCTTGTYTAAGAATCCTCCTCTCTAAACAGAYATTAATCCCTGCTTTGGAAAAGTTCCCTGSTAACCCTGAGAGATTACTGGCAGGTTTATTTTCCAAAGAAAACATTTCAAAATACAAATACTGTTTCCTCTTTTGAATCATTCTTGATACTCACTGTCTTTTTAAAGATTTTCATACTCACTAAAATAGCAAGATGAATGGTTGAAGCTCTCTGTATTCACCATCCAGTCACTACAGGCAGTAGATTTTAGAGGCAAGAATCAGGACTCTCTGCAGTCATACACTGAGATGCACACAGGATGGGGTTAAATTATAATTATTGCAGCAATTAAAGTAATCCCYGATAATGAGAGAACATCCTGGGAAATTAAATAAGCTGACACATCAGAAAGTTTSTTATTCTTTTATGCAAATGAATTCAGGTAACCGTAGCCTAAAATTTCTTCCATTGTGAGCACACATCTGGTATTTTATCAGTTTTGAGAAATAAAGTGTTTTCTCCCCTTGGCTRCAGCTCCTCACTGGTCTGTCTGGGTCAAATAAATCTCCAGAATGGAAGATGAAGCCTGTGTCTTGGGTTATATATAATAGGAGAGTCACTGGGTTGACCTTACCTCCAAACAAACACTGAAAGACATTTTTCTCACTGAAGGATGAAACACACTAAAATGGAAGCTGAAGATTTCTTTTTCTTCCCAGCTACTCCCTTCCCTTAAAACACCTGTACCTTCATGAGACATGACTCTGCACCCCCTGGAATGGAGCCACAGGGCCCCCCCTCACTCCTCTCAGAGCTGCACTKGAAAGTGAATTTGAATTTCAGCTTTGCTGAATTACCTACTGCATTTTACTGAAGGATTYACATATGCATAGAAGTCTGCCAGAAAATAAACAAGTGCTGTATCAATTGAGCTTCCCAAAACCTGCAACAGTGTTTGACTGGAAACCAATAATCCCACTTTCCTGAGAGCACTGTTACATKGCTGAGAAAGAACAAAGCCAAGCGCTGTAAAAACACCTCAGAAAGTCGAAGCACATTTTTCTGCAGCCTTGTACCACACCAATGTTTTCAGACACCAGCTATTTTTCTTGATTTACCAAGAACTCTCAGGTATTTCTGCCACTCAACAATTCCTTGCTCCTGGCCAATTTTTTTTTCTCCCTTCCAGACCAGTCAGCAGCATCCCTAGACCGTAACTTTGCTTTATAGCCTCGGGCCATTTACAAAACCAGCACATTGCTGCAGTGAGATAAATGATTCCTGGGTACCAAGTAGCAGGACTTGGGAAAAGCTGTTCAATTCTGAAAAAAMCCCTAAGCATGCACATGTTCCAGAAGTGATGGGAGAAAGGGGTGCTTTTCTTACACAGGGAGAGATTCATGGGATGCCCTCTCCTATTGCCAGTTTATCTGACACAGCAACAGGCACAAAGTAAAGTCTGTGCCTGAAACACAGAAGATGCTGCCAGGCATTCCCTTTTATTCTTTTTTCTAAACTAAACAAGTGAAAACTAAAAAAAAATGAAAAGGGAGTGTCAGAGATGCTCSCTGAATCACATCTGGTGTGTATAGAGTCAGAGAAAACTGCAGGAATTTCAAGAGCTGACCTAAGGGCTTGAAAAGCAGCCTTGGAATGTGAGAGTCAAATAGAATCAATGAGCTCCTTTAGCAAAGGAGAGGTGGAGAGTTCACCCAATTACTTTGATAATCCCACTGAGAAATGGTGAGAGCTTTACTCCTGTGATCCAACAGCTGGGTGCTCTTCTACAAGATGCACTTCCTTGGAAAATCTCCCTGGTGTGGTGTGTTCAGGATCAAAGTGCAGATTCATGATCCTGCTGAGTTTTCTTTCCTGGCATCCATGAAACATGCTCTGCCTCCAGAAAATTTCATCTCCTGAAGCCCTAATCATACYCTGCCTTGTCTGTGGCATGATGACTTATTTCTGGGTCACTTCYATAAAACTCTGAAGGACCAATTCAGATTTGTTAAGGCAGGGGAGCAAAGTGGGGATATGCACTCCCAATGTCCACTCATGGAAAAGTGTGGATTCCATGACTGTGCTCTTTGCAGTAATAACCATCTGTGGAGCAGCAAAGAAAACCGGACAAAAGTGGTGCAGGGATATGGGACACAATTCAATTAAAATGTTTTAAACTCAAGAAATGGATCACCAATACACTCAAATAGGTTTATCCACTCTGCAGAGCCCTTAATAGCACTCCCTAGAGAAATTAATTTCCTAGATAAACACGTTCTTAAAAAAAATAACACTAATTCTATTCTGACAATTTTGGTGTGTTTAAGTAGAAAATAGAACTGTTACATATTCATTAGACATGGAACAAGTCTAAGTGTTGTGCCACACCATTAATATTTATTTTAGTCTCTTTTTTTCTCTCCTGTAAGAAGCAATACAATTTTTCAAACCATCAGTTCACATTACTAAAATGGAAAAAAAAAGGAAAACATGATAGGTGAAAATTAAACACACAAGGCCTTAATTCAGTGAGTAATAACTTACATAATTTAATAAAACAGGACAAGAGTCCTCTCACTTAGGTCAAAAGAAATAATCACAAGCTTTAAGTCAGCTCTGTACCCATAGACCTTACTGCCATTGCCCACTAATTCTTACTTGGAGGGAGGTTTAGTGGAAAATTGTTGTCCCCTGTAGCTCTCTTGATCTTTTAGTGGAGGTTATCAGCACAACAGAATGAGGTACAGGGTCTTCTCCCAGCATTCTGGTTTATTTGCACCAGCAACATGTTACACACCAGCCTATGACTGGGATGGATGAGGTGAACACACATTTCCTTCTGCCAGCACCACAGTCCTTGGAAATCAAAACCAGCAAATGAAGAGGTTAAAGCCAGGAATGTCTGTGTATGCAGCAGCTGGGTGGTATTAATCACCTGGACAWGAAATCAAGAGTCTGCCAGTGCCCTTTGTCAAATTAAGGGTATAAAGTGAGAAAGTGTACACAAAGCAAAACAGCAGCAGGGTTTAATGCTGCCTGGATAATATCTCACCAAAAGAGCAATCTGCATAGCAAAGATTACTGAGAATTAGTCCTGCTTTCTAAATGCACTTAGTGTTTGTACACAGTGCTCCATTTCCACTGGGAATGCCCACCATGTACCTGCAGAACTTGAAATAGTTTTGTTGATCCCTAGGACAGCCAGCTGTGAGAAATTATTTTCTGTGAAAACACCACTCTCACAAAAGAGTAAGTTATGCTAAAGATTCACTGCAATTCAATATAAGCAAAACAAAACACTGCCTTTTGAAGGGCATCACAGAAGACTATCTTTTCAACTGCTGAAATGAAAATAAATGCCTTTTTTCACATCAGCACMCAGTAACAATCTCTCAAGCATTTCCACATAAAAGCTTCTTAAGCTTTGAAATGGCATATTTAAGCTAATTGTTCTATGTGCTAAAGGAAACAGAAAAGGCAGTAAAAATTGTGTTCCTTCTCTTTACCTTTTCTCCATTAGAACACTTGATGTCTTTTCTTACATAATTACCAAAACTGAGTTCATCTACTTTAAAAATATAAGAACTGAAATATGCATTTACCTTTTACCATTCCTTTTCTACCCCCCCTTTTTAAGCAGTAAAATCATGTTCTGAAGCCACTATAAGTAGCATGACATCTGTGAAATGATGCATTTTGTTTCTAATGCATGCACTCAGCTGCAGATTTCACTTTGAAGTACTTAATTCTGAAATATCTGAAATAATCCCATGTCCCAGGCAAATGGCACWAAAGCATTCAGAGCTATGTCTCTCTTATGAAAGGGTCATGGCAACAAACRGACCAGGCACACCTCATCCTTTTCACTTCTACTCTGATACCAGCTTTCCTGTCCCACAGAACCTACAGAGCCTCTTTGTACCACACTATCCCAAGGCTCACATATACCCAGAAAGGAATTCAAGACAGGATAAGGAAAGTTTTAGGATGAACTGCCTCAGACAGTAGATAAGGTAATGGGATGCAGAGTGGAAAGGCCAGACACAGAACTGTAACCTAAAATTATTATGTCTGGYAAGAAGAAGGCTATTTTGTGTTTACATTTCAATTTCCATTGCCTCATTTTTTGTCCTCCTCATTCTGTTCCTGTTAATTTCTGGGGCAAGCCACACAATCCCCTTTAGAGCCCAAAGTTTGAGCAAAGGATTGCTCCAGCATCCACGAACACATGGAGCAACATGACACAGAAAAGTTGGGGACAGACTGCAGCTTTGATTTAATCCATTTCTTCAARCTAGAGGTGAGGATGGATGAGGATTAAAGTCCCTGACATTCACAGCCATAATAAAAACATYAGGTGCTTCTTAGGCAGCCATGCTAAGACTTTCTCAGAACCATGACATTATCTCCAACAATTCCCCAAAAAGAGAACTGGAAAAAAAATAGGGTTTTTCCCTTGCAATGTAGTCATTTTTTTTTCTTRAGCACTGCAACCACCCACTCCCAATTATCAACTTCTTGCTTTGTCTGTTTACACCCATATGATCTTAGCAGCTGATGGCACAAACAGTAAGAGATGTGGCACCTGCTCACCCCAAGCAGACATAAGCACATGATAAACCTGCYTGTTTCACATGCCTTTAACTATTGGTGATTTACTTAATCAGGTCTCACAAAGCAGAGAATTAAACTCATGGCTATTAAAAACAATGACTGCTTTTTAATAGAGACAATAATTTTGCCCAGGCTGGCTGAATCCATTCACTGTCTCTGTGATTTCCCTCTGGCTGCATATTGCAGTCACACCCTCACACACACACGCTCTCACTTTGCTTCTGTAAGGCCTTTTAATAAAATTCACACTACTGCAAACTCACTCCTTGRCTCTGCCAAGCAACCAGCATGACCCTACTCATTAGAGTTGTAGAGCCATTCATGCCCAGAGTAGCAAACTCATCATCTATTAAAATAAAAAGAAATAAGGTATCCCAAAATTAGGGGAGTTATTCAAAGTTGTACTCTGCTGGCAGCAGAAATATATTATGAAGTGAAAACTGCCATTTAAATAAGGAAGAAAGACAGCCAGGCAGGCAGAGACATTAAAGGGAGACAAACTCTGAAGCCCTTGTCAAASTCACTGAAGCAGCAGCAGCACTGGAGCACTCAGGGCCAGGCTAAGGTACCACATTTCCAGGGACTAAAGACACCAAGTCCACACTGAAGACAGACTCAGCTCAAAAAAGCAGGACACGCTTTTGTATCAGGACCTTCCCCATGAACAACGCTCATTAAAATGAAACCAATCTYTCAATCTGTGTCACGGATATATTTTAAATGGTAGATCACAGACACGCACATTTTCTGGCCAAAGTACCATAAAATTCCTATTAAATACCATTTGCTTCAGCTGGGATAAAAGTACTAACTCTTCTAGTAGTCTCAGAAATACTGCACGCACACTCTTCCTCTTTAATGTTGAGACATCATGACTGTCAGTACCTAAGATCCAGAATCATGGGAGATTTCCTTCTAACAAAAATACATTCTTCTGTGGATATAGCCCATTTCTGAAGTCTGGTATCTTTGGGATGATATGTTAATAAGAACAAGGAAGTTAAAATGAGTATTTCCCCAGGTTCCCATGGGAACACAACACTTACTCCCYGGTCTGGATAATTTCAAGGTACTGGGTTAAATGCTTACTAAAAGGGATCTAAACAGGCAACTCTTGAACTTTTCAATAGCTTCCCAGTTACTATTCACAGGGACTCAAGGCTCAGGGTGCAGAGAACCATTAAAACATGGGGGAACTTAGGAAAAACCATACAAGTGAGGCCCAGCACAGAGGAAAAACACTGGGAAGAAGCCAGAGAAGTTTGAAGGTTTGAAAAGACAGATCATGTTTAGGAATGGAATGGGGAGAGGGGTGACACTCATTAGTGTTTTTACACAATGTGTCCATGGCTTTAATGCACTCTCCATACTGTATTTTCCAAGAACACTTCCTGCTGCCATGGCTTTGTCCAGCCACCTACAACTCCAGCCAAACACACCCACCCAGCTGCTAAGGRAAATACCTTCTGTAGTTCAATACAAGTTATGTGGGGAGAAGTTTGTCATTAATTTGAGATAAAGAAACTCTGCCTTAATTTCTGATGCACTGGGGAAAATGAAAGGAGTTCCAGAGAAAAAGGCCTAGCTAAAGCTGGTGTTGTGGTGGACCTGGCACTGCTGGGGTAATGGTCAGGCCTGGTCTTAMAGGTTTTTTGTGCAGATTTGATTCTGTGCAGATTCCTGAACATGAACAACTGCATTGCATCTCTCCCTATGCTTTCCATATGCATTAGGATTTACAGCCTAAACCAGAAGTTGTTTATGTCCACAAGATGCCTTTTTTAATTGCCACATCATTCCTCTCAAGTGATTAGATTATGGAACAGATCCTGTCTTCTCAGGATCACAAATCTGTTATCAATAATTACAACACACCAGTTGCAAGCTAACCAAAAAGCTGATGAAAATAGAATTCTCCTTTTGAAATTAAAAATATCAGGGTCTCTCACATGGAATAGCAAGAAAGGCTTGGTGAGCATTAAACAAACAGATGAGATTAAGGATGTGTTAGACACTTACAACACTGTATCCAAATGAACCCTATTAATAGATTTCTCAATTGCACTGATTTTTAAAGAAACAAATCCCTGAAGATGAAAGAAGCAGACTAATAGAATTATATCAAGTGTGCTATTTTTAAAAAATCAGGAACATAAATAAAATGAAAACATAATCTAGAAAACCACTGGGATAACATAAATTAGGTTCTTAGGAAAATACAGATTTGGACAATAAGAAAAGCTGTGTTTCAATTAAAGTCTTTGATCATTCAAGATAAGTATACTGGAAAATGAAATTTTCTGCTTTATTTGATTTCTTTAGGAAATAATCTCTTCTCCATTTCTATCCAAAGTCCACAAAATCCACCCCAAAAAGAAACAAAAATCTCCCACTGTTACCTTACTGGACACGAGCTTTTCTCCCAWCCCTGAAATCAAAATTTCTTGTATCAGTTATGTCATCCATATTATAATTTAAATATGCTGCTATAGTGCTCTAACATTTCATTTGCTTGTGCTATTTTCAACATTGTTTATAAGAACATACAAAGGAAGAAAACTGTCTGTTTACTGAAAAATAAAACAAAGTATATCCTCCCTCTAAACCACACCTTCACTAATCTTGCACAGACTTCAGTTTCGTATTGTATAGAAAACAAAAATAATTCCTATTAAAAGTCTGGAAAGGTATCCTGCAATGAAAAACTTCAGGGTATTTATTAAATGTCTTTGACTGAAATTAAGTTTGGAACTACCATTTCACGTAATACCTTTTTGTAAGGTCCAGTTCCCTTCAGGGATTTTTTATACTTAAAACTATTCCCTTAGGCTGATATTTCAGGCTTAATTTAAAGTATCAGCACCTTCAAATAMTGCATTCTAGGAACATTTGACTGGAAGAACAATCTGCAAAGGAAAAACTTCGGTAAAACAGGTAAATCCTGAAAGGGATTTCAAGAAAGCAAATTGCCATACCACATTCTTGTGTCTTTCAAGCTATGACAGACTTGTCACGGTGGCATTTCATGATTTGATTACCAGCTACAAAGAAAAAGAAAGTTTTTTKGGAGCACGTTTATCAGACATTATTGTACATATTTCTTTTATTGAGGAATTCAACAACAGCCATCTTGTGCCCTGAAAATTCTTTAAAAGTTTACAAAAATTTGGCATCGGTTGCAGTGTACAAGAAGGAAAATAAACAGTCAGGAAATAGCAAGCACTGGATATTTTCAGTGCACGTTCTAACCCCAGAAAACAGAAGAACCATTTCTCTTGCGTTGCAGTTTGCCACCTGCCCAGTACAGACTTGCAGATTCACACAGGAGGCGAGACAATCCCAATCCAATCTTAAAACATCTCAATCATTCAGTCTTTTTCCTTGACCCGACTTATCACTTATCCTCACAGATCACAGCAGTTTCACCAGGATGCTCTGTCTTCAATTTTTTCCGAGATGGCTCTCCTGGGAGCAGGGCTGTGCAGTGCTCCAAGGACCGAGCAATTTCATCAATTGTCCATTTGTCTTCGTGCAGGGCGTGTTCCTCCAGCGTGAACGGCCCCTGCTTGGTGCGGGTCAGCTCCTGCACTGTGGCACAGGTACAGAGCTCTGCAGCAAAGGAGAAAAGAGGGATTGGACAAAATACATGGACAAACTTTAAAAGTGTAACTGCTTCCAGCTCACTTAAAATGTATTTTTGTATGTAGCCTTCTATGTGATTCTGTTTTGTTTGACAAGGAAGGTCATGAAGATTTATCATTCGTTTATATCTTCTTAAATTTGACCCAAGGAAGTCCTTTGATTTCAACAGCTGTCCAGTGTAGTAAAGAGTTCAGAATGTGACAGAAAGCTGTCAAGATTTTTCCCAGATTTAGATCAGAATGAAAAGTGAGGAAATAATGTCATAGGATGTAAGCAGAACATTCTGCATTCTCAAGTGACCATGAACTGTTTTTCCACATATTCTGAGGCCTTAGCACTTCTTGCCTTCAAGAGGAATTTTTAACATTTTTATCCTGTGCTGCCTTTTAAGATAATAGACACTAACATAAGGAAAAATAAAAAACATATACAATTGCTCTCCTATGTTAAATAAATACCAGCAGGGCACAATTACATATCAAGGAGCTACTAAACTTTGCCAGCAACCAGTAACAGCTACCAGAGCTGACTTGTAAGCACACAAGTACACTAAAATATTCTCTCCCTTTCTCATGCAGGAAGATTTTTATTTCATTTTCAATTTTTGAAAAGAAGCCWGCCATGGACAGACTTCATCCTGGTTTGTCATTAAAGGGCTAAGCATAAGCCAGTATACTCAGAAGGCAGTAACAGAAACTTCGACTTGCCTAAGCACAAATAAAAACATTGAAATGCATAGGGTTATCCCACATTACTCACTTTCCTTTGCAAATGTATCATTTTAAAAAAAAAGTTTGAAATGGATTATCTATTCTCCAGTATRCAGTCTGATAGATACAGAGCACAAGACAAATAACCCTGTGGGAAAGCAAAACTATTCACAGTTCAGGCAAAGGAGAAAGAAAACACTAGAAAAATCATCACCAGTGTAGTCTTTCCAGTCAACCCAGATAGGGTTTATTATGTGCATGGTAATGTTCTGTGCAATCTGTTTTCAAAATGTGATGAATAATGTTTAAAAAGACAGTATCTTTCTTCTTCTCATCCTTWATCTCAGTTAGCTTTAATACATGAAAAAAGGGAGAAAAACGTCCCCCCCTTGCCTTGAATTATCTTGCTCAGTGCTATTGCTTGTTCCATTTTTATCACCTGGCCCCCAAGGTCCTCTGGCAATTATTTAGCCATCATTCCCCCATGCCCCTGAGGAAATTACCTGAGTATATAAAAACAAGTGATAGCACTACAATTCTCCAAAATAACACACAGGTCTAGTTACTTGAGATATACAGAATGACAAAATTTTTCCATAAACACACACTTGCTCCTTAAATTGTCACRAGTCTTTTTTCATGCCTACCTTTGCCAATGTCATTGACCAGGCTCCTGACATAAAAGCCACCGCCACATTCAACATCTGGAATGTTAAAAATGACATGGTAAATTGCCAGTGCCATGTGAAATCTACTTTACATAGAAGCCATGCCCCCACATAAATGTAAAAATGTGCTAAGCAAACAACCCAGTGATAAAATATTTATAGGATGCAACATCAATTATTCATCCTGTAACATATGTGAGGGTGAGATTGCTAAGCTAGACAGGAGGGAAAGCAAATAAAGTGGCAACTGTACTAACTCACCAGAATTTAAGTACCTGCTGTGGTATGTTAAGAAATGCTTCAGTTCTRTTCATTTTAAGCATTTCAGAAGGTTGATTCATATTTCTAATGATGAAAGCAAGTTATTTCAAGTACAGCCTAAACTATCAGTGCTTCTCAGATACTGCAGACAGGCAGCTTCARTACAATTTTTAAATGCACCTTTAACTTTCCCTGCTCTCTCAGCCCTTCCCTTCCCCCTCTGCCAGTGATCAGCTACTTGCCACCCAACCATGAAGTAAGGGCTGAAGTCACACAGCACTGAGTTCTGTCACTCATACCTGCTCGTCATAAAACATCTACTCAATCACAGGACTGTGGGCCAACTGGGCAGACAGATCAATGCAGGATATCATCCTGACCTTATAGCAGCATTAAACATTTACAAGTCTTTTAGGTTTATTTATTAATATGCTTCTTAATGTACTGCCCAAGTTTCTTGATGTATGACAGAAGGAAGAGTAAGATCCTGCCTCCTCAACAAGAAAGGGGTCTGACAGTAGCTGAAACTGTYCTGGGAGAGAAGCCAGCAGGTCTGGGCATCTGTGCAAAAGAATGGCAAAGTGAAGTAAGCAGACCTGAGAGAGGAATGAGCTAGGAGGTTGCAAAATCATGGACAGATGCAAATAATCCCCTGACCAGTCTCTCAGAATTTTCCCTCACTGAGAGATTAGATATAATCAGCTTAACTTAAAACCAAAATACGGTGCTTTTAATGCAAAGTGAAAGTCTCTTCACATGGGCTCACACTAAAATAAGTAGCTGAGCGAAATGAAACCCATTTCACTCTCTTAGTCCCATTCTGAGTGTAAATAAACATTAACAAGCTGGGAGCATCGCTCTACGTTATAATCTTTGACCTTTACCCAGTGTGAACAGTGGTGGCTGGAACTGCTGGAGAGAAAGGCTGTACACTCTTACTGGCCGAGCAGGCTTTGCTTCCACTGCTTCCCCTCTCTTCATCAGAGTTGAAAGCCTTTCTCCATCCTTCTTCAAAGCAGAATAGCTGATCAGACAGAGCATGAAAATGTGTGTCATACAGTTGTAACAGAACAAGCTTCCCATTCTCCAGATCCTGGTAATACTGCACTACAGCAGCACACATTTTACTCCTTTCCAAGTACTCACAAAAAAACATAAAAAAACACAGCAAGTGCTGCTGAAATCTCTTGGGACACAGAATCACCCCATTTACCAGTTGCTTCATAAACTGGAAAACAAGAGATGGTTCTGTATTCTTCTCCTGCTGAATGGATTTAAAAGCGTTKCATCACTCACTTTGCAATTTATGAAATAAAAGGGTTTCTATAAGGGTTACAACACTTGCAGCTGCCTCTAACATCCTGTCAGAAGTCTGCAGGGCATCCTCTGTTTCACTGTTAGGTTGACCTGAACACTGGGAGCCACTCAGGCAACATCTGTAATTCTAAACTGCACCTTTCCTTGTCTCACACCAGGGTCTGTCCTGAACGGCAGCTGCTGAGTTCTGGGATGTTTAGGAAACCACTACAGAACCAAAGAAACTGATTTCACTGATTACATGAACTTCAACTAAAGCTCCAACTTTGGTCATGACAGAAAGATGACCACTGAAAAATCCAAGATTATATTCCTCACAACAGGAGAGGGCAATATGAAATAGGTCACATGAAGCAGAACACGTGGGGCATTACTGACCTTACAGGGCTCACAGTGGAACCACAGTGAGTGACACATGGCAAATGCAAAGGAAAGCAGGTTAGCTTAAATCACCATAAAAGCCATCTGTCACAAACTAAGTCATGCACACTGCCAGCTACTATGGCTCACCTGACTGGAAGAAATTTGTTAAGCTACAGAACATCACTCACTGATCACTCATTCATACTCTAAGTTTTCAGAAAACTGATTCAAAGTCATTTAAGGCACTTTCACAGAGAGGTCAGTAAGACTGGAAGACAGGATAGAAGACATCAAGCCCTGCAAAGCTGTTTAAGATTTCTGCTATTTTACATTTACCCAAAATACCCTCAGACTCCAGGCTACCATTTGTGCTTATCTTCAAACGGGCATGACCTGCAAATGTTGCAAATATTAAACTCCTGATGGCCTGGCCTCTATCCTCTTGTCAAAATGTGTCTTAGTACTTCTGAGAGAACTGACTTCTGCTGGCAAGTCCTGACAGCTGAACACAACTGCCAAGAGTGTCTGAATATCATGGAACTTACAGTGGAGGAACTTGCATGATGTCCCCCGTGAACTTCTGTAGCACATTTTCAAGATCTCTTTTTGTGACCTGGTCTGTGGAAAGAAAACAGTCAGTATGTTAGTATTGATTATTCCCATGSCACTAATGGCATCAATCTCATTCTGTAAACAGATACAAGTTAGAGTTCCCACTCTTCTGAATTTAAATGGGATGAAAAACTCCAAAGAAAAGAGATAAAGAACAGAYTGTAGGCAGGAATGTGAATTATCACAAAAGGAGGAGAACAAACTGTCCAAGGTGACTAGGACAGTCTGGGTATTTTCAGAAGGGCAGAAATCCTCCTAAACATTTTCTTTTGCAATTTCCCTCTCTTGAGGCTGCAAATTCATCTTCCTTGGAAACTATATAAAAGCTACAACATTTGGATTTTTTTTTTTAAGCACCAAAAAGAATAAGATGCTCATCTAATCCTGRGAACTACTCTCTAAGAGAACCTAACTGCAGGGAAAAATACAATAGATTATCAGAGAACAAAACCACTGGTGTAGAAAAAGACTATATGAAACAACACATCAAACTTCCCTGTCAAACAACAAACCTGCAGATGTACTCTGGGGAATAGTTATATATTAAGTAAGGCAATTTTACTWACAAAAATCTGTAAAAGAAAGACAGCTGGTTTAGGCAATGTACTTTCTTTTAAGAGCACACATAGACATCTGTCCCACTTTTATTGGAAGGCTATAACCTAAGTAGTTGATTGCATTGGTCCTCTGAAGCTCAATTCAACAGAGATGACATTCATCCCTAATTTGTTTAGAGAGTGCAAACATAAGATCTGTAATCACAATGCACTTCAGTGCATTTCTACTGTCTAGGGTTTGACTAGCCCTGTTTCTCCTAAGTTATATTTAATTAGTGTCATCCCTGCTAAGTCAAGAGAATTTTGGAACATAAATCAACCAAATTTATTTATTGAGCCTTCGTYGTGTTTTGAAACAGGCCTTTACTTGCAAACCTTAAAAACCAGATATACTTCATGCTGTAAGTAAAAAAGATGAARTTTCTTTTCACAGCAGCTTTGGGAGATGTGGTACCTCACTTCTGCAAAGTAAACTCTGCAGCCTCAAGAGCAGATGCTGTCCCAAGATTTGTTATTAACAGGAAGGTTGCAAGGCACAGAACTCAGTCAGSGATGCTGAGGGAGACCAATTTACATCAGAATATGGGCTAGGAACAACAAAATCAATTGTATAGTACATCTGAATCTTCTGAAGAGTTTCTTATATGGTTAGTTCACTCTTCTGTTTCTATTTAGCAATAAAACAAAACTGCATGGTGGAAAGTCAGCATGGCCCAGCTTCAAGAAAGTGATCCTGTCAGCCTTCCTG